CGAAGCCGCGACCGACTGTAGCTGAGCGGCTTGTTTCAACAGAGCCAAGCTCAAACTGTCGTGACGAATAGAGTTTGGAGAGTTGGCAAACTTCACTGTTATTGGTTCGAGTGGAGATGCTCCTGGATAATCAGATGGCGGCTGATACCCATTTAACCTCCGAATCGCCAGTTCGGCCTCATGCCTTTGGTCAAATCGAATGAAGGCCACACCACGCGATAGGCCAGTCTTGTTGTCATAAAGAATCCGAGCTGTGATTATTTTGCCACATTGAGAGAATAATTCCTCCAGCTCAGCCTGAGTCATCTTCCGAGGAAGACCACATATGTACAGGTTGGCGCCTTTTATGGACTCGGAGCTGGGTCTGGCAAGAGACACCTTGATGGTCTTATTTTGTAATCGCAGCCCATTGAGTGTTCTGATGGCCTTTTCAGCGTCGTTAGCGCGCACAAACTTCACAAAGGCATAACCTAAACTTTCGCCGGAAGCCTTTTCTCGAACGAGTTTACAGGATTCCACCTCACCTATACTCGAAAACAGAGCTTTCACTTCGTCCTGCGTCATGTAGGGCGGCAAATAGTTGACTATAAGGTTTGTTTTATTGACAGGCTCACCACTCTGTCCACTGATGCTGCAGCTATCTGCTGAGGCAGGTTGAATGATTCCATTTGAGACGGTCATTGAGGAAGGGCTGTGGGCGGGGAAGAAGTAACTACCATTCCCAGGTAAGCCACTACTGAAGCTGTTTGACGGTGCATTCAACGGAAGCATCATCTGCGTAGGTGTACTTGGCTTAAAAGTTGGGTCAGGTGCCAAATGCGAAAGTCCCGCCTGTTGAAGATATGCATTAGCTTCATCCTGGTTTGAAAGTTGACGCCTTTCTTTGGGAATTTTCGTTCGCTCCTCTCTGGCATAGTTGGCTTCTGTGTGGAAATGGTTGACGGGTGAGAGTTGGCTCGCCTTCTGATTGGATGCCTGAGGGGCCGATGGATAAACCAGAGTTGAGGACTTAAATGCCTGTTGTTTAGACTCCGGTATAAACATTCTGGTCTGCTGTTGGGGTTTTGTGATGCCAGAAGACAGATTAACAGTCCCTATAGCATTGACGATGGGCTGCTTGTCGGCACTGGAGGGTTCGGGAGAATTGGGAATAGTTTTTTCAGTAGAGTCAGAGCAGGGGGAGATGGAGGTGGAGTAGGTTGAAGAATCAGCCGTGGACTTTTCTTGGGTGTCCTTCATGTCGTTTTGGCGCATCGTCAGTAGACATTTTCCGTTGGGGAGGTTGATTGAGGCGGCATTGTTCGACTCTGAGGCCGCCTGGGTTTCCTTTAGTTTTTCCTGGTCGTTGTCGTTCGCTGACAGTTTTTGTTCCAGAACCTCGCAGCCCCCCAAAATTTCATCGGGATGTTCGGGCGAACCGTGAGTATTGTACTGTCTAGCATTTTCGTTCATATTATCAGGATCCGTTGCGGAGAAAATATTAGCAGTCTTGCCTTCAGCACAATGCTGGTCACCTGTGTCGCCGGATGCCCTCTGATCTTGCCCGGTAGAAAGCACGTTTGAATGAGAAATAATAGGGTTTGTGATTAGACTCCAGATTTCACGTTCTTCAGTGCGACTTTCTTTTGACATCATAAGACTAGGGGTACCGGCGCTGCTTGCTGTCCGTGGCCGTTAACCATTCAGTTAAAACATAAACTAAAGGTAGTGTTGGAGATCCTGGTTCAGAAGTTGTAGAACAGTGAGGGCAGTCGACGTATCAGCCTTGCCTCGGTAGCAGAAACGATGCTGCTCTGACTTAAAATGAATGAGCAAATCAGCCAGGTGAGCTCAGCCGCGTAGGCATAAAATCCAAGGCGTAGGTAACTAAAGTATGCGGGCGAGATGTTGCCGGCGTGAAAATCGATAATTGCGTTTAAATTGGGTCGATACACGTAGCACAGCTGTGTAACATAGCGAGGCATGAAGCCTCGCGTGCTATAGATGAACGGAATGCCACATGACACTGGTGACTGTAGCTTGCATCTACGTGGCTTGATGCGTTGACTTAAAATAAAATGCCACGGACATAGGAACATTTGCTATGCCCTTGGTTTCCTCATACTGACAGATCTTCGAAATTTGCAACAATCAAGTTGTCATGGCTGGATTTAAAAGAACGTTTTTTAACGAATCAGAGTGCCTTGCCGATTGATTGGTATTTTGAAATTATTCAAGAACCCCTTTGAAATATTTTGTCCAACATGACAGCCTAAAAGATGCGCAATGACGGCAGGATGTAGCCGCGCCAGATTGAATTTGCTACGAAAAACTTCATTGGCGCGTATAAATAAGATGCACGTGTACATGGCCGTTCGAAGACATTTTTATTCACACCGATAGTAGTGTAAGTGTGATTTAAAAGTAGAAATGCGCGAAAATGTGCATTATGGGGAAAATGTGCTTGTTTTCTGTTAGTTCAGATAGCAGCTTCTGTGAGTCTATCTTCAGTGACTCGAATGTTCTGTGTAGAACTAGCAATTTACGGCGTACGGGTCTTGATCGCCGATACCGGTTGTGGATCTAGGCCGGTGGGTCATTTTTTAGTCGAGATATATCGAGTTAGGCAGTTGGGATGCGTCGTCCTCAGCGTTCCATTATTATTAACATTAGTAAACAACTCCGAACTCGAACTTTTAGATAGCCATTACATGCAGCCGAGTAAGGCAGGCAGGAACTTGTAAAAAAACAGTTTCAAAGTGACTTTGGGTTTCAGTTGACTACCAGGGGTAAAATTTAAAATGTTGCTATATTTGGGTTTTCAAAATGTCAGGCTCCTTATGGCTGCTGCTCTCGGTTTGAAAATTTGTCATAGTAAGTATTAGGAAATTAATGAATCCGCAGCCTTTGGACCTAAACTGTAGGTTCAGTTGTAGTCCTAAGTTCCCACCCGACCATAGCATTTTGCATAATCAAAACAACTCGGTGGACGGCTCCAAACCCCTTTTCCACTTCCAACGAAAGTATATCAGAAAACACGTAAACGTAAAGAGGATCGTCAGCAGTTGTCACTGACGTTAGTTGCGAGTACTGTTGTGTTCAGCTTGCCCAATAACTACACATAAGGAAGGGACTATTTGTCTTTGGCTAATTGTAATTGAAGTGAAAAGTCTGTTAGTACAGGAGTTTGGACACCAATAAAGCCTGGAAAAGGTTATGAAAAAGCTTCATAATGAGTGATTACACTTGCTTTCATACCATATAGCGCGTGTCAGAAAACTGAGAGCAGTAAGTAGACAGAAAAATGTTCCTCTGCCCCTAGCATTTGCTGAGATCTTCCTATTTATCCTGATTGATGGAGATATGATTCGGCGCTCCCCTAAATTAACGTGTCTTGAGGCCTGCCACTCGGAGAGACTGTCCGTTGACAGGCGAATTCGAGCTCCTGACTATTTATCACGTCCTACGCCAGCAGTTCGATCTAGCACACTCACCAAATTTTCCCTTTTACATTCTTACGTTAATTAATTAGTCCTTCCAGCAGAAGAATTAGAGCAAACAACTGTTAAAATCAGCCTAAAATACTTCCATCAATATTATCCATCCATCAGCATAAACGGCTATCGGACAAATGCGACAATGACGCTTGACAATAATTGAACACTCCTTCGGGCAGTGCAATCTCACTATAAGACGGCAGAAGTTTTGATAAGCATCACTGAAAAAAATATGGAAACCGGAATAACAGTTGCTGGCTTATTCGTCACTGCCATCCCGAAACATCCCGCCAGTTCGACCGCCGATCTCGACGAGGTCCACCGTGTGCCCCACAGCATGCTTGTGTGGGATACGATGTGGTTCGGCGAGATAATAGGCGGTAGAATGTATCCCAACATGTATAAGCTAGTGGATATATGATAAGGCGTGAAAGACCAGAGTGTTATGAATGATTTAATAAGGTAAGGAGTAGAATATGAGTAACATGCAAGTGACTCCCAGACAAGTGAAGTCCAGCCATGAATGGGCCGGAGTCCAGAGGCGCAGTCCGGCAAGTAGATCACCGGGTCCGGAGCTCTGCAACCGAACAGTAAGTCGTCGGCTCCTGGAGTGTCTGAGAATAGGAAGTCGCCACCTTATGGTCCGTTTGTGACTTCGC